ACCTTAAAAATAACTTCTACATTACCTCATATGTAATTCCCTACAGATGTTCCCTCTTTCTTGTTGGTGTTTCTAATTTGCCCACAACATTAGATTTTTGTCTAGCAACCAAGGCCACAATTAGCACAATAATGCGAGCACTGAAAGTTTTGACTACTATATATACAAACTAAAAATTAGATCATCAGTGCTGGATGCAATTGAGGCAAAAATTCTCTCTCCCACAAATTATCCGTGAGATCACCCCAGCTAGAGGGTTCTGGAAATAATGGGAATGCAGCTGGATTCTGGTTTACAAATGGTTATGCTCCAAGAGGCAGAACTTGAGACTAGAAACTTCCTGCAAGAAAGACAGTGTAGACCAAAGACTGCTAGGTGAAAGAACTAACTTCTTTAAGGGTCCACTTGGTATATTAGGTTTTGCTATTTACATTGGTGTGCTGGAACTGACTTCTACGTACTCGACTTCTATGTACTCACAAGAGTTGACTTAAAATGTCAGGGCTTTTGTGAGCTGATATCTACTTGATAGTTTGAAATAGACTGTGGTGGGAATATTTACGCCATGGAAACTGGCAAATGTGGCCAAGCTTGGTGACTCAGCCTGTAATCCCAGCACTTTGGGAGGCCGAAGCAAATGAATTGTCTGAGCCCGCGGGTTTGAGACCAGCCCGGGCAACTTGGGCGAGACCTTGTCTCTACAATAAAATTAAAAATGAGCCGGGCATGGTAGCACGTGCCTGTAGTTCTGACTACTTGGAAGGCTGAGGTAGAAGGATCTCCGGAGCCCAGCAGGTCAACGCTGGGGTGGCCGTGAGCGTGCCACTGCACTCCAGCCTGGGTGACAGAGTGAGACTCCAACTCAAAAAAAGAAAAAGAAAAAGAAATTGGCAAATGCTACATATCAACCACCCATCCCCAGAGAACTGGTTGTTAGACATTTCCCAGCCCATCACTGCTTGTCTGGCTCACAACTACCCGTGAGATAGGTATTACTGAGTCTACTTTATAGACGAGGAAACAGACTATCAAAAAAAAAAAGCCTTTAGGTTTTACAAAGAAATTACAGAGTGAAGAAAAAAAAAATCTGAAACAGAAAGAAGCTGCCAAAGCAGGAATAGGTACAGGACCATGCTGACACTGAGGACTGCATCCACAAGAGAAAGACCCTATCCAGAGGAAGACCATGAGCTCATCTAAGGGACGGACAAATCCAGGTTCAGAGGGCTCTAGTGACAATTTCAACGAGGGACTAAGGGAACAAACAAAAGCCTACAGGGGGAGCTCCAGACTTCTCCACCCTTTTCCAACCCCTTCCTCCCCACTTTGGTTGGATAAATCACATTCAAAGACAAGAATTTCTGCCGGTGGCTCAGCCTGTAATCCCGCATCTTTGGGAGGCTGAGGTGAGTGGATTGCCTGAGCCCGCGGGTTCGAGACCTGCCTGGGCAGTGAGACCTCATCTCTACAACAAATCAAAAAATCAGCCGGGTGTGGTAGCACGCGCCTGTAGTTCCAGCTACTTGGAAGGCTGAGGCGGAAGGATCGCCGGAGCCCAGCGGGTTGATGCTGCGGTGGCCGGGAGCGGCCACTGCACTCCAGTCTGGGCGACAGAGTGAGACTCCAACTCAAAAAACAAAAACAAAAACAAAAAAACAAAGACAAGAATCTCCATCCCCTCAAGGAGGAAAGGTTTGCTCAAGTTTGGAGAGAGGAATTGGGTCATGTTTCCCAGGAGGCAAAGTTTTCAGAGGAGTTACAAAGTCAACGCACAAGCGTAAGTTCACTTTCCTTCAGATTTACTTTCTAACACAGACCGGAATGAAGAAGGTCCTCCCCCTCATCCCCCCAGTTCCCCAACCCCCTCCTCCACTCCTTTCCTCTTGTGGCACCTTCCTCTCTCTTCAAGGAGTTTGACCTAAGGCAAGGGCCTTGACCCTAAAAAGGCTAAGGTGGGCAGTCACTGTCAACTCAGTCACAGGGCATTCCAGTGAGACTCTAGTTTGTTCTGAATTTGGGTTTGGAGTCAATAGCCAAATATGACTCTGCCTTTCATTATCCTGTCAGGTATTCTCCCTCAGGAAACTTGTGGGGAGGGGAAGCTGTGGCTTGGCCTGTGGTAAGTCTGGATTCACAGCTCTACCTACTGTTGTTTTCTTGGAGACCAAGGGAGCAAAAGGTTCATACAGTTCACAAGAAGTCAGAAGTTAAATCAGGTCTGATTACTATGGGGCCTGTGCTCTCCACAGAGCTCTGTCTGTGACATTGGGCTAGGCCAGGAGACTTCGGGGAACTCTCTCGCTGGGGTCCTGGAAGGGAGTTCACCCTCTCGTTCACACACTGATCTGTTTTCTGAAAAGGGAAAAAGAGTGAGACGAAAGACAAAAGTCCTTGTTTCTTTGATGTCTTGAATGGATAAATGAGAAGTTGTCTGTACAGTGCTTAGTCGATAATTGGCACTTGATAGATCATAGCTAATTTTGCAGTATACCACTAAACTGTGATCACAATCATGCTTGGTCTCCAGGATCAAAATATGGAATTTGAATAATGTGTAGATCAAGGGGGTACCTCTTCTACCTCTGCTCAACTATTTTATCTTATTCTGGAGAGATTTTTTTTTTAAAAAAAAAGGAATTTGGAGCTGATTCAGTAATCCCCCAATTCTTTAAAGAGCAATGACAGTGATGCTATCTTCAATGTTTTCTTGGGATTTCCTAAGTTTCTGCTTCCTAAATGTCTTTTTTTTTTTTTTTTTTTTTTAAAGATATAGGATACAATTCCGGATTGGGTATACAAGTGGACATCATACAGGTAAAGTTTGGGCCTCCCTTTGGTCCCCACTTTGCCTGGTTTGAGATCAGGCACCCTCCCCCAGCCCCTTTCTCATAGTATTACTGCTCAATCCCTTTCTTTTTTTTTGAGTTGGAGTCTCACTCTGTCGTCCAGACTGGAGTGCAGTGGCCGCTCCCGGCCACCGCAGCCTCGACCTGCTGGGCTCTGGCGATCCTTCCGCCTCAACCTTCCAAGTAGCTGGAACTACAGGCGCGTGCTATCACACCCGGCTAATTTTTTGATTTATTGTAGAGATGAGGTCTCGTCAAGTTGCCCAGGCAGGTCTCGAACCCGTGGGCTCAGGCAATCCACTCACCTTAGCCTCCCAAAGCGTTGGGATTACAGGCTGGCTCAATCCCTTTCTTATAGTATTATGGCAAATGTTCAGGGTCCACTTATAATTGAGAGCATGTGGTACTCTCTTCTCTCTTCTTTGTTTCTGTGATAGGTCACTGTATATGATAGACTTTAAATCCATCCAAATTGCCGCAAAGTCCATATGTTCATCCTTCTTTATGGCTGTGTAATATTCCATTGTGTATATGTACCATATTTTTCCTAAATGCTTTTTATAGAGGAAAACCTTCAGCGAAGGCATCTAACTGCTGCTTGTGCTCCTCTTGACACCTGAGAAGTCACCTGTGGTGGACTCATGGGTTCCTACCCCATAGCCAGCCCCCTTCTCCCTTGCTCATGGAATCCTGATATTACCCAGATGGAGAGAAGCAATGTGCTCAGGAAAGACTCCCCAGGGGATAAACAATAATGAGTCTAAAGCAACCATGATAAGCCATGATTTAAAGATGGATCTTTCACCAAATTCTGGTCAACAGGATCTGAAAAGGCGTCTGTTGAGATTTCCTCAAAATGAGAGAGATATGCAAGAAAAGCCAGTACACTTTCCTGCTTTGGTTTTGCAGGTGAAAAATACGATGCTTGGACTTCTGATTCCAAAATGGTGGCATAGAACTAAGCTGGCCTCCTCCTCTTGTTCCCAAACCAAAAACAAGATAAAAAACTACAGTGCGCCGGGCTCGGTGGCTCAGCCTGTAATCCCGCGCCTTTGGGAGGCTGAGGTGAGTGGATTGCCTGAGCCCGTGGGTTCGAGACCCGCCTGGGCAGCGAGATCTCATCTCTACAATAAATCAAAAAATCAGCCGGGCGTGGTAGCGCATGCCTGTAATTCCGGCTACTCGGAAGGCTGAGGCGGATGATCGCCGGAGCCCAGCACGTTGAGGCTGCGGTGGCC